TCTCTGTCTGGGGGCAAGGAACTCACAGCCTTCAGGAAGGGATACTCGCAGAGAAGGGAGTCTCACCTGGGGAAGTTCGGGGACGTGTGCTCAGGCTCCTTCTGGAAGCTGAGTGTCCGGTTCACTCCTCTCCCACACCCAGCATCCGCACACGTGCAACCGCAACTGTTAGCAGCTTCCCCAAGTGCTTGTGTTTCTCAGTCTTCTGGTCAGAAGCCAGCTTTGGGTGGTGTGAGGATCCCACCACGAATGTCTCTTTGCCTTCTCCCTCATGCTGGCCCCATCTCTCCCCACCCCCACCCCCTTCTCCAACTGCACCCACCTTTTGAGTTCACCTGCCGGGCATTCCTGCTTGTCCTCGGGCCACTGCAGATTCAGATGGCCCCCAGGAAGGTGGGGGTACAGGGCCATTAGGGACATGGTGTTTGCTTCTGGAATTTTCCTTGGGTGACCCAAAGAGCAACGACCTGACCCCCATCTCCTGGTGAATGGACAGGGCGTCCCCACCTAGGATGGCTGAGAACTGTACCGTGTGCCCTGGGGACAGTGCACTCCCACAGAGCAGCATCCTCATAATTGGGGAGATGACGTTGGCTCGAAGCCTCCTTCACCTCCCCTGAGAAATAGAGGGTTGGCCTTAACAGTCCAGGTGTCTTTACCTTCCCAACATCAAGCAGGTGCTGGAGAAATGCGTGTGGAAAGAGAGTCCCTCAGTCTGAAGCTTGCAAATGGTAGTGATTCCCGCCTTGCAGCCCAGTGTGGAGTAGCTGTTCAATAAGAGTGAGTTAGTGTTCATCAGATTACAGAGAAGCAGTGGAGCAAGCTTGAGATAATGAGGTATGCACAAGTCACGGTTCAGTGCTCCCAGTGGTCCGGATGCTTAGAATGCTAGTCCATAGATGGCTCGACAGTCAGATGAGGCTAAGGCGCTGGGGGTGAGGTGGGGAAGGACCGTGCTGTTTCTCCTTTCCACTCACCTCTGCCCTTCACGCTCTGCCCTCATGGACATCTCTAGCATGGAGACTGAGCAAACAGCAGAGACCGCAGCATGGCCCTGGACAGGACGACGGTCAGAGCTGAGTGCGGGAAAGGAATTCCCTTTGATGGCAGGTGCCTGTCTCTGAGTACCGCAGCAGAGAGATGGCTGAATGACCTCTGGGTGCCCCCTCAGCTTGCCTAGACAAGCCTGGCATTCTCCTAGTGCATGGTGGGCTGGATTGAGAAACCCAGCACCAGTTACAGCCCAACTCCCTGGGTAACTGGAAGAACACTCCTAGAGTTCAGTCCAGGGAAGCTCAGTGTCTTTGGAGAGTCACTGGCAGAGATCACACTGGCCCAGATGAAGTGAGGCCAAAGCCACAGGCCAGAATGTCCAGACACAGGCTTTGTGAGAGCTGATGCACTGGCTCCCCAACACCCCCCCACCCCCTCAGCCCAGGAGACCAGAGGGCTGCTCTTGCTTGTGATTGGCAGGGGAATCCTTCATGACATGCTGGGGAAAGGGCATCCCTACAAGGGCACAGAGACTCCAGAAAAGCCAGTGAAGTCTCAAAGGATTTGGGACAGGATTGGTGCTCCTCCTTCCCAAAGGAAGTGAGGGGAGAAGGGACAGGTTTGTTGAGCAGACATTACGTAAAACACCCAATTCTCCTTCAGAAATATTCTGTTGGGGCTGGCGCTGTGGCACTCTGGTTCAAGTCCCAGCTGCTCCGCTTTCAATCCAGCTCCCTGCTGATGTGCCTGGGAAAGCAGCAGAAGATGAGTCTAGTACTTGGGTCCTTGCCACCCACGTTCCAGGCTCCTGGCTTCAGCTTGGCCCAGGCCTGGCTGTCGCAGCTGTTTGGGAGAATGAACCAGTGCATGAATGATCTTTTTCTCTCTATCACTCCCTCTCTATACGTCACTCTCTTTTCCAAGTAAAATAAATCTTAAAAGATAAAATAAATGTCCTACAAAGTTAAGAGGTAGATCTACCTGATTAAGAAAAGAACAGCGGCCGGCGCCGCAGCTCAATAGGCTAATCTTCCACCTTGTGGCACTGGCACTCCAGGTTCTAGTCTTGGTTGGGGCGCTGGATTCTGTCCCGGTTGCCCCTCTTCCAGTCCAGCTCTCTGCTATGACCCAGGAGTGCCGTGGAGGATGGCCCAAGTGCTTGGGCCCTGCATCCCATGGGAGACCAGGAGAAACACCTGGCTCCCGGCTTCAGATCAGCGTGGTGCGCTGGCCGCAGCACGCCAGCTGCAGCGGCCATTGGAGGGTGAACTAACAGTAAAGGAAGACCTTTGTCTCTTTCTCTCACTGTCCACTCTGCCTGTCAAAAAATAATAAAAAAAAAAGAACAGAAGTTAATTTAAGAAGTGACTTTCTATGGAGAAGTCTGCAGAGTTCGTGGAAACTGCTACTAAGGACAATGCTTTCCTGCGCTCTTCCTGGTGCTACCCTTCCTGCCCCCACTGGTGAAGGAAGAAGAAAGTCATGTTCACTGAGCTGAAGTGACACCGGCAGTCACTGAGGACACGGCCAGTCAGGGAAGGCTTGAACCCAAGTCCACCTGGGGATTATACTTCTGGACCTCAAGCTAGGAGAGCAAAGCTTCAACTCAAGGTTAAGACGTTTCAGTCTTGGAGAGAGTGCCCTCCTCCCTGGAGGTCCCCTTTCATGCTTCTCTGTTTTATGTTAGCCTAGTCTCCCTGAATGCTTGGCATGTTCCTTCGATTAGTGATAATTGCTCAAATTTCTTTTGTGTCTCCCACCTCACCAGCACAGTGCAGACCCTACCCCTGCATACACGCAGCTCCATGGAGAACTCTGAGTGAGATGGAATAAAGGCAATGATGCTATTGGCCTAGGGGAAGTCCGTTATGTGTCTCCATCCTCTGCGTCATTGTTATCTCACTCTTAGGTGGGGACCTCTCTGGCATTAGGCAGTTGGCTTCTCTGGAGGAAAGACCCAGTGCGCCAGGGAAAGAGCACTGGGAGCAAGTATTTAGTGCCCATGTTAAGAGGCCATTTGGGATGCCCACAACCCATATTGAAGTGCCTGGGCTCAACTCCTAGCTCTGCTTCCGATTCCAGCTTCTGGTTAATGCACACCCTGAGAGGCACTTGGTGATGGCTCAAATAAATGTGTCCCTTCTACCCACAAGGGACACCTGAGTTATTATACTCCAGATATTTAGGGAGTGAGCCAGTAGATGAGAGGTCTATCTGTCTTTCTGCCATGAAAGTACACACACACACACACACACACACACATATATATATATACATTTAAAAGACATCAAAAGAAAAAGAGCATTAGACTTGGAGACAGGTGAGCCAACTGAATTCTTGCAGTGTCTAGTGAGACTCTCCATGCCTCAGTTTCTTTACTTACAGGAGCGACTGGTGACACGTGCCTTCCTTCTTCAAGGGTTGTTGGGAAGCACAATCAAGACAGTAAACATGAAAAAAAATTTCTTGTAAATCATAGCACCGAACTTAGAGGGAAGTAGCCATCCACACTAAAGCAAAATAGTCTGATGAGGTTATAATTCAGAGAATCCCACAAAGTTAAAGAACTGCGCTGAACAGATAAAAAAAGGCAGTGATTTCAGATGGTATGACGTGGGAACGGGCAAGAGAAGAGAAAGAAACATTTTCCATGTAAACAATGCAAGCTTTAGTCTTCTTGGCTGTTAAAGACATGAAGCGACCAAGAGTCTTGTAAACCCATCTGCTGCCTCCTAGATAATTCCATACGGTTGAAATCTGATTCTCGCTCTTGGAGAGCGGGTTAAGTAGATGCAGTCAGGCAAGAGCCCTGCGAATCAAACAATAGGAAGGCACATTTGTAACATTCTTTACCATTTTCAAAGCACTCAGACATACGTGATCCCTTTTAACCCTTACACCCATGTGAAATAGGGATTAGGTTCTTATTTTTCAAATGAAGAATGGGCTCCTGGAGGAGAGTAACTTGCTCAAAATCATGCAGCTAATAAGCAACTGCAATCAAACTCGGGGTTCTGGTCCTGCATCCTTTACTTCTTCCAGGTTTGAGGAGAATTTTTGTTCTGTAACTCACTGTATTTACCAGGGAGGGAAAAAATGTCAAGCCAGCTTAGTTTATTGGCTAAGATACAGTTTGGTCTTCCTATTGCTCTACAGGTTGCTGTCCTTGCCTGAAATTATTATGTTCATCATCCACATAGGTGGCAGCAGGTTGGAAAGATGTCTACAATTTATCCATTAATTTAAAGTCATAGTTGCACTGCTGCCTTTGGCCCTAGGTTTGTGTGGGTCCAGCCATACAAGGGATATATACCCATTTTGACTTGGATCTTGAGGAATGTTGATGCCTATGTGTAAATGTACTATTTGTCCCCAGGTATGGATGTAGATGGAGAACAGTCACTCATTCATTGTTGAAGGTGTCTAAATGGGACAGTGTCTTCTGGTAACGTCTCTCCACCTCAGGTTGGTTGGGAGATGGGAATTTTCCACGCCACGGGAATGCCTTCTGTATTTCAGGAAACATACAGGGGAATACATTGGTGCTCAGTTTAACATCAGAAGCAGGTGACAGTGAAGACAAGCTCAACCTCCCTTCTCCTGTGTTCTCAGCACACACTCTTGCAGATTAACTCTGTGAAGAAGTCTTGTGGTTTGTCTCTTTGAGCAAGAGAAACAGCCTAAGATATTCCAGTGCTGTAATAGTCTCTTATACCTCTTCAGATGTAGGGAGCCCAGATGAGGACCCCAGCCATATCTGTTGGATTATTGTGTTCAGCTTAGTGGATTTATCTACTATGAGGCCAATCACTATCTGCTCTTGAGAAGTTTTCTTCCCTAACGAAGGGGTTTCTATCCTTGGTTTATTGGATGATAGCGAAAAAACCACTCAAATACTCTGATCTTAATCCCAAACTCTTTTGGTCCCCAAACATCTAGAGAATGAGAAGTATGCCTGCACCGCCATCGAGCTTTCTATGGGGACTAATGAAATATTGAGCAACTGTTTTGAATTGGCTGTTTTAATTAGTGGAAGAGATCAGTGAGGTGTATAATCCAAGGAAATGTCTCATCCATCAACAATGAAAGAAACAACAAATCAAGAAGGCATATGTGCTTATAATGTTTTCAATTTGGGGCTAGTCATCATGCCAGGCACAAAAGATATATAAGACACAGTTTTTGTCCCAAGGAATTTATAATCAAGCTGTGAAAGCAATGACTCAAGAGAGGTCTACAACGTAATAGGAGTAATTGTATTTCATTTAGCTTTTTAATCAAAAACGTGTATATTCAAATGAGGTATCATCTTCAGATAATTGTCTTGTGAAGTTCTTTACTTATCCCAGTGATGCTTCCACTTCTCCCAACATTTCTGGCATTCTCTGTGGTTTGCTGATGAACAGGTTTGAACAGGAAACTTGGCACCCACCTCTCACTGGGAGGGAGCTGCTCCCTGAGTCTTCCCCTGTGAAGATCCTGGGCATGGACCGGGGCTTAGATCAGAAAGCCAAGGTTATCAGCTTCTGGCTTCTGAAAGGAACACCTGGTAGCTTGGAGGTATCAGGTGATCTAGGAGAAAAAATGCAGAATGGAAAGGATTGATTTCAGGAGACAATGGAAGGAGAGGATCAAAGGACCTGGGAGGCACCAACAGGCCTGAGAGCAGGTGAACCTTGGTGACACACCGCTGGTGTCATTTTCTAATGGGGAGTCCTAATTGGCGGAAGGAGACGGAAAACAGTTGGCAAGTGGAAGGGACCATCTCTTCTTGTGCAACCTGCTCACCCATGCACCTTCAGTTTGTCTTTCCAGACATGATAGTGTCTTTTTGGCTAAGCTCTGAAATATGGTAGCTGCTGCCTATTTCTCTGATGACTTGAATCCCTCTTTCATCCCCTTTGTTTTTCCAAGAGAGGCAACTGTTTAATGATTTACCTGATCAAGTTTCAAGAAAGTCCGGTCGACTCTTGATCCCCACTTTGGATAACAGGCTGTTTAAATTTTAATGTTAGACTGACCTTTATTCAATTCAATGGTCCATATATTTATTGGTCAACTAACTTGCAAAGGGACAGGCAAGCACCATGAAAGAGGTAACTATGAATAATGCAGAATGCTACATCAGAGATACGATTCTCTAATTACAGAGATAAAACGGACGGCTCTGCAATAACTGTAATACAGGGCAGGATGTGTTCAGGGTGCTATACCATAAACTGGAGAGGCCATGTACGCATGATATTGGGTTGAGCTGGGGAGCTATGAGGCAGGAGTGACTGCTGACATAAGTCTCAGAAGGCACAGATGGGCAGAGTGGTCTTTCAGGACATGGTGAGAAGGCCTAGGATAGAGCTGCTGTGAGATTGGACTGAAAGTATGAGAACAGGAAAAGAGAGGTACCAAGTAGGACCGGTAGGGCAGCTACAGGTTTTAGTGGCTTCAGATGCTCAGATTCTGCCACAGGCTTCTGAGCAGAGGGAGAGTTAGTGCTGGGTCTTGGTAGCATATTCCAGCAGCCAAGAATAGGACACACTGGAGGAAAATTGAGTAAGAAGCCTATCTCAAGACTCTGGAGAGAGAAGGTATGACTGTCTGCATTGGTGAGGTGGCCATATAAGGAGGAAGGGTACATTCTGGTGATGGCATTGGCAGAAAACCTGCTCCACGTATCATCTCAGATGCAACCACTAGGTTTAATGATCCCAATGCAATGCTTTGAAGACCCAAATAGAATGGACTCTGGGATTGTCTTCTGTTTCTAATTTTCTACCTCAATGACTGAGTTGATAAAAGCCATCATATGCTTGACTTGAGGAAAGCCCCAAGAGCAGGGATCCTCTCAAATCCATCTCATCTGGTTATGTGTGCTGGGTATCTTGCCAATCTGCAATCATAAGAGACCTGGTTTCAAAAATATTTAATGTGCCCTTTTTCTGAAAGATCAGAAAACTAGACAACAGGAAAGAAGTCGGAGATCAAGTTAATAGATAAAAGCTCGCAGTGGAGACAGAAGGGAGGAATGCGTAGGAAAACAGAGAAGGATTTCTGGAAGAAAGTTTTTCATTGATTAAAAAAGATCATGAGGCCTTTCAACACTGGATCCTAGACAGGGAGGTGGATACAACCTAGCACCCATTAACAGTCAAGACAAATGAGTAAGCCATTGATTCCCTCTGCTAGGGATTTCCCAGGATGGACACTTGTAGTATGATGATTCCCCATGTGTACACACTGTAAATTATTCCCAAAGTTTATTGCTACTTCATTCATTGTTTCCGATTACACAGTGCTACAGGGAACCTGCCGGGGTCTCTTTCCTCACTACTCCTGGGAAGATTAAATAGTCCCAATCCCCAGACGGTGACATAGCCACCTGGCCATCTATCTCTAGGCACTTATTTCCTGTATCCTTTTCACAGGTGAAAGTTTTTTTTTGACAGGCAGAGTTAGACAATGAATGAGAGAGAGACAGAGAGAAAGGTTTTCCTTTTTCCATTGGTTCACTCCCCAAGTGGCCGCTATGGCTGGCGCATTGCAGCCGGCGCACTGTGCCGATCCAAAGCCAGGAGCCAGGTGCTTCCTCCTGGTCTCCCATACAGGTGCAGGGCCCAAGGACCTGGGCCATCCTCCACTGCCTTCCTGGGCCACAGTAGAGAGCTGGACTGGAAGAGGAGCAACCAGGACAGAATCCAGCGTCCCAACTGGTACTAGAACCCAGGGTGTCGGCACCACAGGAAAGTTTGTTTTGATATATGTGTAGTTAGCTCAAGAAGAACAAAGAGTGTGATTTACTTAATGTAGTGATTTCTTTGTGCTGAATGAACATCTCTGCTTGCTGCCTGTGCTATAAAAAACTTGACATTATATAGAAAACATTGCTCATTGCTAGTCAAACTGTGGTCTGTCAATGGTCACTGGTGGTTCCAGGGACGTTTCTACCCCTACTGTAGCTGTACCATCTATTACAAGTGGCCTCTGGGGCCACCATGACTGAGAAAGTGCTGGAGGATTTTGTATATTTTTGAAAGGTTTATTTTATTTGAAATGTAGAGGGACAGAGAGAGAAAGAGAGACAGAGAGGAAATATTCCATTTGCTGGTTTACTCCCCAAATAGCTGCAATAGCCAGGGCTGGGCCAGGCCAAGGCCAGAACCAGGAACTCCATCTGGGTCTTCCATGTGGGTGTCAGGGGCTTTAGTACTTGGCCCATCTTGGGCTGCCTCCCCGGTACATCAGTAGGAAGCTAGATCAGAAGTGGGGAAGTTAGGACAGTGCCGAGGCTCACTAGGCTAATCCTCCACCTTGTGGCACCAGCACACCGGGTTCTAGTCCTGGTCAGGGCGCCGGATTCTGTCGTGGTTGCCCCTCTTCCAGGCCAGCTCTCTGCTGTGGCCAGGGAGTGCAGTGGAGGATGGCCCAAGTCCTTGGGCCCTGCACCCCATGGGAGACCAGGATAAGCACCTGGCTCCTGGCTTTGGATCAGCGTGGTGCGCTGGCCACAGTGCGCCAGCCATTGGAGGGTGAACCAACGGCAAAGGAAGACCTTTCTGTCTCTCTCTCTCACTGTCCAATCTGCCTGTCAAAAAAATAAATAAGAAGAAGTAGGGAAGCTGGGACTCAAACCAATGCTCCAATATGGGATGCCCGTGTCCCAGGATGCTGTGCCACAGCACCAGCCTCTTTGCAGACGTTAGGAGGCTCTGTCACTACCCACACTTCATTAGTCAGAAGCCCTAAGATGATACTACAACACAGTGCAAAGGAGGCTGGGAAATACAGGGGCACATGGACCCTGGGGGTATAGAGCTTTTGCTCAATGGCTTCCTGGCAGGCGGGCGACACTTAGGTGACCCCTGTGTTACACTCACAGCATCAGCCCGAAGCTGCCTTTGGGTCTCCATCGTGCATGTCTCATTGTGCTCAGTTACGAGAATGAATGTGAGGGTCCCGCTCCCACCGTTACTGGTTAGAGACACTTGCTGGTCCTGAGATGAAGCTTTGACGTCTCAGCTCCTGATTTTGGCAGTGGGGGAGGGGGCGCCTGGAGAGAGAAGACAATGGGAGGTGAGGAATGCAGGGGCAGCTGAGACCTTGCCTCACTCTGCTCCCAGATGCCAGCGCTACATCATTGGCTTCCAGAGGGCCTGTGTGACCTCACTGGATTCCAGTCCCTATATTTGTTCACCATCAGTGTCTATTGCTGTAAATAATTGGCAGGAATATAATAGGGTGAGAATGATTGTTGCCTCCCCCCTTTGTCTTCCATAAAATCTTTTTATATCAGAGGGTTGTGGCCCCAGCCACTCCTTGCTCTATAATTAGTTCTGGGAGCTGTGGGGACTGAGGTTTAGCTAATGACATTTCATGGCTCAATCATGGGTCCCTCGGGTCTTTTCATCTTCATGGGAGCCAAGGTCTGGGGTTGCAGATGGACCAGGGTCATCTGTTCTAAAACCATGTGGCTCTGCCAGGGGTCCTTAAATTCTGCAAATGAGTAAGTGAGCCCCCAGGACTGCTGGGATAACTGAGGGCCCTTGGCAGCCTGCTGGCTCCTCAAACAGATGAGCATGGCTTTGGAGCCACTGCTCACAACTGGCAAGGAAAGATTCCTCCTCTTCATTCTATCACTTCTGTCTTGGCCATCATTCTGGCACTCACGTACCTTGAAGCAAAGTCATGTCTGCCTTGAGATACAGCCATTGCTCTTAAAAAATGTTGGACAGCAGAGCCAGAGGGCTCTCCCAGACCTTTGCAAGTGTGTGGCTATCACACCTAGCAAAAACCAAACACACATGTGAAACCCTGGAGGGGCTAATGAGAATCCCACCTTGGAAACAGAGGCCTCAAAACGGAGTGATGTGCACGCCTGCTCTTTCTCGTCAATCTCCCCGTCCTCTTACTGTCCCCTCCCTCCCTGGTGCTCCTTCGAGCCTCTGTCTCAGCCTCCAGGCTGCTCCTCACTTCTCTGCTTTTGCTATTCCCCTCCCGTTGGTACAATGTCCTTCCCACCTTCTCTTGCTCAGCTTCAGTTCTTCTCCAAGACCCAGGGCAATCATTTCTCCTCTTGGAAGTCCCCTTGACTTTGTGTCTTCAAGACTGACTTGTTCAGTCCTTCCTCTGTATTGTCACAGCCCCCTCAGGCTTAGCCTTGTAGCAGTGACAGCAGTAATCAACTGTGACATAAGGATGCATTAACCATCTCTCTCCACCAAGCTATGACCTCGAGGGAATGAACTCTCTCTCATCCTCACCCTGGTGTCATCAGGGCTCCGAATGCCTTAGGCACATAATAAAGACTCAGTGCAAGTGTTGTGAGTGAATAAATGCATTGAAAATGTTTACCCTTCCCCTATGCACAAAGATAACTAGAAGACTGAGAAAGACAACAAATGCAGAATGCCTGGGATGCTTTAGGGAAAAAAAATGAGGGGAGCACTAATCAAATATTTTGAGACTCCAACCCTCTATTATTTTTCAACTCCCAGTAAACACAGTGAGGGCAGGCCACTGCAGTTCCCTGGAAGGCCCTCTTTTCCCCTACCAGGTATGCTGCCTGGGTCAGAGCATGTGGCAAGAGGCTTACTGCTGGGGTATTAGCAGTCTGCTGTCAATCCACGCTGCAGGGCTGACAAGCCCCCTGTGGCCAAGGCCGGGGTAAGCCACACACTCCACCGGCATCATCAAGCTATTATGCGTGGCTATTGATAGCCCTGGGCAGTGTCGTCTGTGTAGGCAAATGCTGCTTTTTCCAAGCGGTGTAAGCCCCCAGCTCCCCACGACAAAGTGCTCCACAAATAACCCCTGCGTGTTCTGAATTCCTCTGGACAGGGAGCCCTGGGGATAATTAACAAGGCCAGGGTGAATGAGGCTCTGGACCCCAGCCCCAGCAGCTCATGGCAGCCCAGGGTTCAGGGTAAGGTGTCGGCTGGGGTCCAATGTGGAGGGATCCTGGGAGAATGGAAAAGGTGAACACTGCTGGAGTCCAGTCCTGGCTCCGGAAGAAACCCACCGAGGGCTTCAAACCCATCATAGGAGTTTTTTGAGGTCCAATTTCTTCTCCACCCAGATTAAAGTTGTGTTTATTTCAAAGCATGTCTTGATGAGCAAAGGTACTTGTTAAATACAAAATAGTGCATCAAGGTAAGAGCAAGATTGTATTCGTCATGATGATGATGGTAGCAGTGGCAAGGATGACGATGCGGTGGTGATGACTGCAATGACAATGCTGACGATGATGATGGCAGTGATGACGATAAGATAATAGCTTGTGGGGAGAGGACACCCCAGATAAAACAGCGGAGCATCGCCATGGTGACCGTCTCTGGCAATGAGTCAGGAACAGGAATAGCAGTTGGGTCTGTGTGCTCAGCCGTAGAACCGAGCCCCACTTAGAGGTTTTGCCTTCTCTAGAAAGCCTTTCACCCCAACACACACCTTTCTGGATCAGTAAGTTTCTTCTTTTCCCCAGAAGAACGGTTTTGGCAAGCACTTTGATTCAGTGGATCACTCGGTGCTCCAGGGCATGTTCCTCTCTGGCCTCCTGGGCCAGCCTGATGGTTGTCCCACTTTCTGGGTGTGCGACCAAGTGTGAGGGATGTGATTTCTCTGTACCTCAGTTTCCACGTCTGTGAAATTGCCAGATGGTCATGTGAGAAGGGGACCTGGCCTTAGATAGGAGCTAGTGGAACCCAGCTCTCGCCCTGGCCTGATTTAATATATTCCCCTTGCCTTTGGAGAGAAGGATTGTTGCTTTTTGCAGTGGAGGAGCTCAGAATAACCCACAGAGCCCCTGTCAACTTCACTCAGAGCAGCCAAAAGAAATAAGAAAGAAACAGCATGAAGCAGCAAGCAGCAGCGATACATTGCTGGGGGCTCTTCCCCTGGTGACAGCCGATTGACATTGGATTCCAGGGTTGAAGCTTGCAGCACCATTTGGCATCACAGTGAGGAAAACTCCTTGGGTGCAGGGCCTTTAGGCCTTGCATGAGCTCTTCAGGTCTGCCTTGCTATAGTGCCATGAATCAGGAGGCTTAGACAACAGAGACTTCCTGCTCTGGGGGCCGACACTCTGAGACTAAGGTGCTCCCTGGGAAGGGGCCGGGGAAGTGGCCTTTCCAGGCCTCTCCCACAGCTCCTGAGAGCTTCTTGGCCTTTGTTCCTAGACCTCCAATCTCCATGTGCATTACCTCAGGGCTCTGTGGCCCACAATTGTCCTCTTTTTCTAAGGACATCATGCCTATTGGATTAAGACCCACCTGAGAGCTCCCTTGAACTTGATTGAGGACTCTGCACATAATCCCACATTCCAAGACCCTAGAGCGAGGGACACAACCTAGCCCATAACAATCATGCTGTTCCCTTGACCATCCTTTGGGCATGAACAACCCTTGTGAGCAGGGAGGATTCTACCAGTTCACAAGTATTGAGCAGGCTCACCAAGTAACTTCCTGCTCGCTGAAGTCTGATACTTCTCCCAAAGTGTGTTGTAGATAGTGGACCAAGACCTACTCTGGCACAGCCTTGGAATCGGAGTAGACTCAGAAAGGTGAGAGGCAGCCGTGGCTCCTGGGGCTGCCTGATGGAGTCCAGCATCTGGTCGCATGAAAAGCCGAGTGCAGGCCTATAGCAAAGCCCTGAGTATTTTCCACTGCCACATTTTCCTGGTGGCTTAGGAATGACAACTATGTATAGTGACTGTGACCCCAGACTTGAACTGAGGTTGAAAGAGCAAGGAGGTTTTAATACCAGAGCTACTGTGCATGAACACTCTTAGTCACAGCTTCTGGGTGAACACCGAGAACTCAAGGCAGGCTGTAGGGCCACTGGGGTATGGCATACAGAACTATTGTTCCAATACTAGGTGTTTACTCTGAAAATTACCCTTTGTACTTGTATTAGCACCCGAACATGGACATAAAAATGATTCATTGCATCTAAAGAACCAATCCAAATTCATTATTCTGTAACGGATAAAGATATTTATACTCAAATGTTCACGTCAGTTAACTTGAGTGATGAGGATGACCCAACAGGGCCAAGACCAGTTCCCCTGCCTCTCCAAGATCTGCAGTTCTGAAGCTCTGGGACGCTCACCAAGGCAGCCTTGGAGAACGGCTCTGTTGGTGCATCTTAAGGTCAGGCTTCCATATCTCCAGATCAAAACTGGAGAACAGGACAAATTGCAACAAGAGAGAAGTAGCTTGGTCCTCACCAAGTAGCAGTTTGCAAACAGGCTCACTTGGGGATTCTGGTTACAGTAAGGTGGTGGTTGGTGTTGCTCTTACAAATATGGTGATCAGAAACGGGGATGCTCCTATGTCAAGGCTGCGTGAGGTAGAGCCCCAGGTGCTGTGTAGATGAGGGTGACATTCTGCAACCTCCAGCAATCCCTGGATTGGGTTGCTCCAACATTGAGAATACAGAATCATCTGAACCTTAGTGCCCCTGCCTCCAAGTAGCCGGGGATGTGATTAATCTACAGTGACACCCACAGTTTTGTTTAGAACAGGGCCAAGCCAGGTGATGGATTGTTATCATTATCAGTAGTACGATCTGCAATTAGTAGTAACTGCTTGCTCATCTTTGGAGAGCTCTTGGAGGTAATTGGATCACATGCTCAAGAATTCAGTCCCTTCTGCTCTCCTCCTCCTTGCCTTTTTTCCTCTACCCTAACCCCATATGCCTGGTAAGGGGAGAGAAGATGATTGATATTCATCAGGTCAATCTGTTTCATTGAGTTTTATGAAATGAACTGCTCCCGTATGCAGTCACGTGTGCTCTCTTTAGTGTCACTGCTATTCAGTAGCAGTCGTATGTTTAACTCCTAAGGTTCCAGGGCAACTCTTGGATGTTAAATTCTTCCTTCTAGGAACACAGTGGACATTTCTCTAGGAACCAAGAGCTAAAAAGACTTACAGAGGGGCCGGTGTTGTGCTGCAATTGGTTTGGCTGCCGCCAATGATGCCAGCATTTCCTATCAGGGCCAATTCCAATCCCACCTGCTGTACTTCTGATCCATCTTCCTGTTAATGGGCCTACGAGGCAGCATGTGATGGGTCAAGTACTTGGGCCCCTGGGAACCAGTGGATTGAGACTTCTCTCTCTCTCTCTTAAACTGCTGGTCAAACAAGTAATACAAATCTTTAAAACGAACAAACAAAAAAAGACCTACAGGTCACTTAGCCCAGAAAGGAAAAGTGGACCTCACCTGGGCCATATGACATGTATGTGATAAATCACACCTCAAATCCCTAACTCTGGCATCTGGGCCACTGCTCTTTCTGGAACACTTAACTACTTTTTACAAAATAATGTTCAAAGTCATCCCCAGCACATCAGCACAATCCTTCAGCCTGTCCTGCCACCAACATCTGGATGGTGCGACAGAAGACAAATTTCACATGTGTTAGCAACCCAAGGACTATTCCTACTAGACATACCGCTTGAGGAGCAAATCCTTCCTGACTAACTCACCCATTACTTTGCACTTATTGAATACCACTGTTTGCTTCAGTCTGAAACACACTTGGCATGATGATGAAGCAAGAGGCATTGTTATGCTGGGTCCTGGGGCTATGGAATTAATAATATGTGGTCTCTTCTCATGTTAGAAAGCCAAGAATGAGACCAAAGCAAGACCACAGGAGGGAACAAAGCCAAGAGCAATACGCATGCATGTGCCTGAAGAGGAGCTTCTGTCACCAGGGTAACATTCATGCCACAGATACTTACAAGTGCCAGCTATGTCCAAGCCTGTGCTGGTTACTGGTACTGCAACAAAGAATGTCTCTGTTCTTGCTCTCACTTAGGTAACCTTTCTGCAGAGGAGACAGAGCATGTAGGATAGGGAGAGTTCCTTTCATACACCCAGTTCCTATTTATCAAGAGTCTTTTTCGGTCTCTGCTCAGGCAGTTTGTAGTCCTGTAAAGACTTGTGAAGAGGTGTATGATACACACAACACAAGACATGCAATAATTACAGCCTCAACTGAATGTAGTATGAAAAGAAAATAGAGTGGTGTGATGGTGGGGCGGGTAGGGGGAGGAGAAGAGAGATGAGTAAAGCATGCAATAAAAATCCCTCTTCTAGAGTCAGACTCCCCAGGATTGAATTCCAATTTGACCTTGTACAAATGACCTAGCATCTCTGTG